AGGCATGACGAAGCAGATATCGTCCTCTTTTGGAAGACCAAACAAAGTAGTTTCGCTTTCACACAGAGTCTTTACGACATGGCGGCAGCGGCAACAATACTACAGCGAGAATAAAAGTTACGCCTTCTCTCTTTGCGTGAACATTTGGGCGGCATTACGCAAATCTTCCCACATAGTGATGTAGGTATGTGGGGGCGTGTTAGAACGAGGCGTTTTAGGTAGGTGTGGTTGAATCTTATCTTTTATAAAGAATATCTCTTTGGATTTGAGACTTTAGTCTTTGCAACTTTACAGATCTTCTTTATGCACCAAGAGCTTGTAACACTCCAAAGAGAAAGGAACAATTGAAATCGCATCATATGACCCCCTTTAAAAATCGTTCTGATCCCAAACTTTTGACCGGTAGTGTGTATATACAGCCAAAATAACATGCATTTTGTATGATCCCTCTTATTTTGGTAAAATAATTAACATTTTGCAGATACTGTAAAATGTTGACCACAACTGTATTTTTAAAAATAAATAAATTAAATAAATACATTTAAAACATGTTTTTATTTACATGACTTTTTCAGTTCTAGAAATCACACTTTTAAAATGAGTGGCCTGTTACATGAAGCCAGTTTCAGTGGTTACCCAGGTTTGAGTGGTGTTCATGGCCATAGTAACTTAAGCTACATGGCTAACCTGTTCCAGAGCAGGTTTTATTCTGTGTAAGACATCGCAAACCAAAACTGAACCAATCAACTGTGAGGAAAGTGACATACATCTGATGCAACAAAGCCACTCCCCCTGTATCTCATGAACCAAATGAAAGCACTTCACAGTGAAAGAACTTTAAAGACAAAATCATCTAGCCTTTGGTTTTAATATTATTGCAAAATATATTGGAAAATTGCCATTAACCGATCCTTCATTGTACATATTGGGACGCTAGATGGCGATATAGAATTATGTAACAGTAATGTAACATGAGCATCACGAGGTATTGTTGCCAAAAAATGCTGTCTAGGTAGGCATGTATGTTCTAATGTCCAAAATGCTCTCTACATAGGCAGCTCTACATGCTATCTATATAGGCATGCATTCTATGATTCCCAAAAATGCTGTCTGTAGGCAGCTCTCAAGGTTTTGATACCCAAAAATCTGTATCCCAGTGGTTCTGAACTCCACAGTCCTCATTGATCATGACAATATTCGAAGGTTCCCTAGCCCTAATTTTGTTTTTCAGAACTTAATCTATGGGCACTCTCAGTAACTTTTTTTTTTCTTCTTCTTCTTTTTTCTTTAATTTCCTAGTTTTCACTCCTAGAAAATATTTAAATTAAAAAAGTTAAAATGATTATAATTTAAAAGATAATGTAATTAAAATGATAAAAAATATAATAATAAAAATAATTAACATTTTATTCCTGATCAAATTAGCAAAAAGCTTGTCATATCAAGTAAAAGGTATAGAAAACACACTTTCATAATGAGACTACCTTATATATTCAGGTTTCCCAAGACTTGGTTCTTCAAGGGAGAAAAAAAAAAAACAGTTGTTGTGGGGGTAAATAGAAATAATAAATATCTTGATTTTAGTTGTTTCTTATTTTCATGCTGCTTTTGTCTTATTTTAAGTCACCTTGAGGCCCCCTTGGAAGTTTGCTGAGGCCGCCTAACGGGCCCCGACCTCCTGAGAACCTCTACTATATGGGCAGATATTCTGTTATGCTCAAAAATGCTCTCTACATGGCAGCTCGCTAGGTATTGTTGTTGGTTATGCTGTCTATTAGGGGTGTAACAGTACACGTATTTGTACTGAAAATTTTCATTACGGGTCTTTCGGTTTGATACTCATGTGTACCGAAAAAATACAGCGTTGGTTTAACCACTGCATGAGCAGAACTTAATTGGAAACTTCCAGTTTTATATATTGTTACTTTTGATAAGAAACAAAGTCTGATCTTTCAAATTATGTCAATTTTTTTCATGAAATTCAAACAATAAATGGCATTTTGACGCTCTTTGATGTGGCGACAGATCGCTGTATAAACGCCTCCGTTCAAACGGCAGCGCGATCATTCCTTCCTCTTTACTAACTTACTAGTTTAAACGCGAAATAAACATGAATGAACATTTCACGCCTCATGTAATCACTCAATCAGTGTTTCAACTGTGGAACCTCGTCAATAAAACGGCTCGTGAACAAAATGTCTAGTAGCATTTAATTTACCTCAGGCAAGGCATCAGTGTCTGCAGCTCATTAGTTCGCTAGAGAAATGAAGTCTAGAGATAAGCATTTCGCTAAATATTAGACTATTTACTCATTATATTACTTTACCTGTTAGTGAGTCTTAATTATTTAATGTATGTTTGAATAAACCTGTTATGAAACAAGTTATGACAGCCACTGTGTAAATGATTATATTTCACCAGCAAATAGAAATTTTATCATTTAGAAATTAATTTAATTACTGCGTTAAGCACTTGCATATCATTGCTCTTTTGTTGATTTTGATTGCTTCCATTGTCCTCATTTGTAAGTCGCTTTGGATAAAAGTATCTGCTAAATTACTAAATGTAAATTTAAAACTGCATTATGTACAATTTGTTTATTTGAGTGTTGATTATTACATAAAAATAAGTAGTAATTTAATTTAATTTTGGGCTCTGTTGTTAATTGTAACCCTGTAGTAATGTAAAAGGGCTCCCTATAGTTTAGAGCAGAATCTGAGGTAGATTTTTATTCCTAACAAATGTTTAATTATAATTAATTTTATGTAAAGAAAGAGCTATTTCTTCAGTAAACCACTGTTTAATATAAAAAAGCTATTTTATGTTTAGTTTTTTCCCCTGTTGTACCGAAACCATAACGAACCGTGACGTCAAAACCGAGGTACGAACTGAACCGTCATGTTTGTGTGCCATTACACCCCTATTGTCTATACAAGCAGGTCTGCTATTATACCCAAAATTGCTCTTTAGGAAGGCAGGTCACTAGGTTTTGATGGCCAAAAATGTCATATTGGATATGCTAGGTGTCTGTTTTTAGTTCTAAAACTCTTTTCTCTGTCATAGGAGAAACTGAAGCTCAATATTTCCTCCAGTATTAAAACAGTGCAAGACATAAAGAGTAAGTGTCTACCTCATATTTGTCCTATTATATGTGCTCTATGATACATAATCACCTTTCCTTCACATTACTGTTGATTTTCTGTTTCTAGACCGTATGAAGTCATTAATGGAGGATGTTAATAAAATGCAGAGTGAGCTGAAGTCCTGTCAAAGTAACATGGACACGCTTAGTAAGAAAGCCACCAGTGAAATGTAGGTTCATTCTGAATGCTCTAATCTACAATACAAAAGACATTATAGTCCTTGATCAGTATGATAATAGCTGTGTGTGATGGGATTGTGCAGGACTCAGTGTAACAAACAATTTGAGGCCATGAAAGAGGCATGCAATGCGAAAATTGCAGCTGCCAAACTGGAAAAGCAAAAGACATCTGAAAAGGTTGCTCTACAGGTACGGTTAAGGGGGAAAAAAAGTCACCTTTATAGTGATTCTTATCTTTTTGGTGTCTCTTTCCCCCTTTCCACTTACACAAACTCTGTCCTTCACAGAATGCTGATGGTTCCATACAGAAAGTCTCTGTTTCAAAAGCCAAATCTGATGTTCCTGCTACAAACCATTCTGATAAAAATGTGGCAGAATCTCCAAAAGGCAAACCAGATGTGGATTCACAGTCTAAAAACGATGCTCACGTCCAAACCATGAAGTTAGTTGTTGTGGAAAAGGATGAGAAAGGTACGAGTTGCCTGTTTAAGTCTTCTTTGTGGTTTCTAGGTGGTTGATTACTGGCTCGTGTCCCTTATTCAATGCAAGTCAGATCACTCAGAAGAGTAATGGCAAAGTTCTCTCTACTCAACAAACCACATGATTTTAGGTTTTAATGCTTGTAGCACGAGTACCACATTTTCTAAATGCATGTTATTGATCTTATCTCGAACGATTTGTCTTAAACCCCATCCCTGCAAGCTTACGTTCATCTGCCTTTTTTCAGTGCAACCTCCACACCTCAAAATCCATTTAGCATTTAATGCTTAAAACATTCCATGTTTTTCCGATAATCTGTTACACTTGGATGTACATCACTAGGGGTGTAACGGTACACGTCACAGAACGGAAGAAAAGATCTGACGCCACATCCGTTAAATCACGACTTGCAACCTCTGAATAAAATGCAATTCGTCTCCTAGTGGCAGTCGTGATGAACTTGAAATTTGATTTCCAAGCCACATTTGGTCGAACGGTTGCATACTGTTTTGTCGCACAAAATTTAAACATCCTAGGCTCCAATGACATCCAAAAATTATGCATCTGCATAGAGTCTGAACTTCACGCAGCCATGAAAAATGCGGTTTTCGGATTCCATAATATCACTCTTACCAAATGTGCTCCGTTAAAGCTGTTCACACCAGTGACAGTAACTATAAAGTTTTAATAATCAATCAGAACTGGAAGAAGAATAGCAACGTCCACACCACAACTACTACAGTAAAAACACAGAGGAACAATATTGTTGGAATCACTTTCAGAAGAAAATTTTGAATGAGAATCAATCAGAATTCACCCGACTTTATAGAGCTCAAGCATTTAAAGCAGCAGATAAGATGTACCTTCACCATGTGTTTGAACATTTTGTCTGCTCCTCTAAGATGCTGTAATTTTACAAGACTCACCCATCCCCACCTCCAAACTGACCAATAAGAATGAGACTCTTAAGAAATCAGCCAATGAAGAAGTTCCAGAAGCAGTGGTGGATGTTAAAGCACAGGCTTCAAAGGCCGCAGGTGGGGTAACAAAGAAAATTCAGCCATCAAAGCACCACACACACACACATATTACTAATTTTCTGTCTTCATACAGATACTGTAATGGATGAAGCAGGGATTTTAGACCCAAAGGAAGATGAAATGGGGATTGGAGATGAGAGGGAGGAAGATGCCAACATTGAGGACAGGAAAGAGGAAGACGCTGCAATTGGGAAGGAAGATGCCATTATGTACGACAATGAGGGCGAGATAGAAAAACAACTGTCCAAGATTAAAGGTGCTCTTCAATATCATGCAGAAATATTCATGATATAATGTAATTAAACTACTGTTTATTTATTTTACAAACTGAGGGGTGACTTATTTATTTCCCATGGTAATTTACAGCGTGTCACAGAAAGTTGTTTAATCTGCTTTAGTGAAAAAAAGTGAAGTGACATGTGGCCAAGTATGGTTACCCATACTAGGAATTAGTGCTCTGCATTTAACCCATCCTAAGTGCACACACACCGCAGTGAACACGAACACACACCCGGAGCAGTGTATATCATTATAGATCAGAAGTACTTTTCTCCTTTGCAATAAAATTACAAAGGATTTTATGCATTTTTACAGATGAAAATCAAGGTGCTGGTCAAGATCTAGAGGATGATGTGGCAAATTATAACGGTGATGATGACAACCAACCGGAGTCTGAGGATGAGAAGCAGGCAGAGCTTGCAGAGATGTAGTTCCTGATCACATGTGTCTGCTGACAGCAACAATTCCTCCAGCTAAAGACAGACACAGACTCTTATTAGTGACTGTTCTGAACCTCTCAACGGTTGGAGAAGACACCTGCTGTAAAGACTGATTTGTTCTGGGTGAATACTGCACTACTGTGTAATGAAGGATATGAATCGCATCCCTCTTACCAGGACAGGCATGGGGAAAACATTCTTTTTCTAGTACTGATTTTAGGTTAAACTTGAATGTAACTACTGCTCTTATGACATCGAGCCTTTAAATGAATGCAACATAGTGAATTTTCCTTATTAAGTGAAAGATGCTTTGTTCTTAAACAAAAGCTACTTCATCTGGTCTTAACGGTTTTGTGTTCTATTTTGATGTCTAATCATTTTAGCTGCTGAAAAATGCATAGGAATATTAGATGTTTAGAAGACACTTAACGTAATGCAACAACTCAGCTGTTAATGGACAAATGAATGCATGCATGACAGTTCAATCTTTTTTCCATCATATTTTTTCTCTATTTGTGTAGAATATTGCCAAAGGTATTCTGGTGGTGGTTTGGTAAGTGAATAATGCAAAGGTAAATCTTTAGTGACACTTTTCTAATTGTGCCAGCAGCCAACCACAGCACTGAAATGGAGAAGCGCCAAATTGTAATCTCTGCACCTGGACAAGCCACCCAATTGCCACATCGACCATGGGACTGTGCCATTGACCTTCTGGGTGAACCAGTGCCCTGTGGCAAAATCTACCCACTTTCCATCCCTGAACAGAAGCCCACAGAGGAGTACATTGAAGAGACCCCCAAACAAGGCTGTATCCGCCCATCGGCTTCTTTGTGAAAAAGAAGGATAGAGTTTTTGGCATTGCATTGATTACCAGGCTTTCAATGAAATCACTGTCATACATCAGCATCCACTTTCCCTCATCCCAGCCACTTTGGAACAGCTGAAAGGCACTACCATCTTCACAAAGTTGGATCTCCAAAGCACCTATAATCTCAATACATGAGGGGGACAAGTAGAGGACTGAATTTGTGACACCTACCAGCTATTATGAATATTTCGTTTAATGAATTAAGTAATCCGGGAGTACCTATACCGCTTCATGCTGGCATCCATTAATAATCTGGTGTGAATTCATGGTTGAACATTGCCACCACATTTTGGAGGTCCTCAATAAAATACGTGAGCTCTTCCTCAAGGCAGAAAAATACTCCTTCCATCAGTCTTCCATGCATGCAGCTCTTCGGCTACTACGTCAGTGAAGATTGTATCAAGGAAGAGTCGAAAGTCGAGGCTGTATGATCCGGGCCCACTCCCACAACCATTATGGAGTTACAGCAATTCCTGGGCTTTGCAAACTTTTGCCACCACTTCTTCAAGAATTTCAGCTCCATTACTGTTCCATTCACCACTCTTCTGAAAGGTAGGCCCAAGTCTGTTCTTGAATCCAGACAAACCCTTCGTTGTTGAGGTTAACACCTTGACTTGAGGAGTGGTGCTTTCTCAACAGCAAGGGAAGCTACAACGACTCCATCCATGTGCCTTTTTCTCTAAGAAACTCAACCCAGCAGAGCAGAACTATACATTATAAGTTGTGTTGCTGGCCATCAAGCTCACCCTGAAGGAATGGAGGCATTACCCTGAACTCCAGACAAGCCAGGTGGGCCTTATTCTTTACTAGATTTGATCTAACTATTTCCTATCGCAAGAGACCAATAATGTGAAGGCTAATTATCAGAGCAATCCAGTGGTCCATGGATGATAGAATCAGCAAAGCCAGTGCCTCTGATCCAGCTCCACTAGGCTGTCCTCCGGACCGCACCTATGTACCCAGATCTCAATGCACCTCTCTGATAAAGTCAGTGCATGCATCCGTGGGCACTGGCCACCCAGTAACAAATCAGACCCTCTCATTGTTGCAAGATGATTCTGGTGGCCTGGCATAGCTTGTGACATCAGAATGTTCATCTAGGGATGCCAGGAATGCGCCATGTCCAAAACACCATGCCATCTGGCAAACTGCTACAGCTGCCTGTTCCACATCGACTCGCCATGGTCTGATGGGTCCGTTGCTTTCCACCTGCATTCCTCTAATCATCGACAGATTCTCCCAGGCTTGCCGTTGGAAACTGCCGAGATAATGAGTCATTCATGTCTTCTGTAATTTTGAACTCCATGAGGACATTGTTTCAGACCCAGGTTTGGATAGTCTTCTTCACCCTCCTAGGTATGACCTTAAGTCTCTCCTCTGGATACCATCCCCAGATGAATGTGCAGACGGAGAGGAAGATTCAGGAGACTCTTCATATATATATATATATATATATATATATATACAGTATATAGAGAGAGAGAGAGAGAGAGTTGACTCGTATAGTATTAATCAACTGGCAAAGAGTCCTGCTTCATACTCTGTGGCTTTATTGACCACACATGCACATCACATGCAACTATATTCTTAGCACACCGACTACCCAAGAGAGAGGGGTGGGGCCATATAGAGAGAGACCTTGTAATTACATATATTAGTGATGTCACACATATTGATGTACTACATCCCCTTTCCTAAACATAGTATCAAACCCAAAACAAGATTAGAATCTAGATGTACTTACATCAGAATTTTTCTTCACAATGAACATTAGTTCACCCTTCTTTAATGCATAACTTTACTAGAACAACAAAGGTATATTGAACTTGAAACAGTAGCAATAACTGAAAAGTAGCTATTGTGTATTGTAAATGAATAAACTGTAAATAAAGTGCATTGCACAATAACAAAACTGGTATTGTTTACCAAGATAAACAATGAAATGAAATGAGTGTGCAATTCAGCAGCATATCTTAGCACTTCAGTCCTGGTATTTTGGGTTAGGGCGAACAGTGTGTCCAGACCGTGTCACATAAGGACTGGTTCTTAATTGTGCGTGTGTCTGAAAGGGTACCTGACCTGTGGCTGTTTGAACAAGTACTGTCGTAACTTCTTTTGACACAGTCTTTTCTTTGTCAGATGTGCATGAATCTCTTTGGAGGCCAGAAGAGAAGGTTCCAGCAAAGGGCTGTGGAGTGGCAGGCAGTGGTGGAAAGAGTACTGAAAAAATACACTCAAGTAAAAGTACCATTACCTTCCAAAAAATGCAGTGTGAGTAGAGTAAAAGTACTTGTCCAAAAAATTACTTGAGTAAGAGTAAAAGAGTAGCCTATTTAAAAGTACTCATGAGTATTGAGTAGTGAGTACTGAGCTGTGGATTCTACCCCCTCATAATAAACGCTGTACACCGCAATTTACAGATTTTAAAAACGTTGTACATTCTGTAATTCACATGATCTTATTTGTCATAAAGAATGAAGAGTATCTATCATCCAGCAGTTTTAATTTTAACTGCCAACTCTTTAAAATACATCAAAACAGCACGGAAACAGTACTCAGTTGAAGAAAAGATTAAAGTTATCCTCAGTACAATCATCCCCATTTAAATCATAAAGTTTGAAAAAATAGATTTAAAATCATGTGTAAGGCCACTGAGACAGCATGCTGTTGTTGCACATAAAATATTAATGTTTAGAACAGTGCAAATACAAACACCATTAGAAACTCATAGTTCAGCATCACACACCATGATATGGGTTAAAATGAGAGCCCATTTCTCTCCAAAACGGTGCCA